ACATGAACGATTGCGGACATATGCGTTACTGTCCTCTATGGCATAACGCCACTTTCAAGATTCGAGATTCAAACCCATAACCATACTTTGCTGACATGCCCACGGACGTAACTCAGCAGCGAATTGCGGCACGTCGGACCATCTGATATTCTGGGATTGCAGACAATCTTTATCTATAATTTCGGGAACTTGTTGTCTTGCATGTTTAAAATCACCAACTAAAATTTCACTACGTCAGTCTGTACCTTTCTGGCTTGAAGGAATCAGGATCCTCGTAGAGCTGAGGATTTCTGTGAATAGCCATTACAGGAATGAAGATACTTTGACCCTTAGAGAACGTTAGGCCCTTGATTTGAGTGGTCTCAGAAACAGTTCGGTCAAACCTTAAATGAAGAATAAGCTTGGATAGGTTTGGAGATAGGTACGATTATGTAAAATGTGAACTTTGTCAGGATCCAATCAAAATTAATGTATTTAGGGAAGCATTATCACACAATGTTTAGGATTTTATAAGACAGTTGGTAACTATCGTCTATTTGATATCAGTGGATGTCTGATTTAGGTTAAACGTCCTTTTAAATAGTATTCAAATATCAAGGATATGCTCCGTCGGGGTTCAATGACAAGCAATGAACAATATTCGCAAGCCATTTTGAATAGTATTCAGTTAAACTGCTGCGTGAAACAAACATACACATCATAAACACTGCTGACGGTGTTCATAAAGACCGTAAGTTTGATGTATGTCAATATGTGATAGCAGGGTGATATAATGATGTTTGGTTGTTTCTTGGAACGCCGGCACATTATTCCTTGGGATGTAAAATAACGATCCTGAAACAGACAAGCTAATATTCAATAGTTTGATCAAAGATCCGCTCCGTCGTGGTTGATCAATGACTCGCAATCAACCAAGCCCCACCAAACGATCTCCATGATCATCTCTAGCGACCAGCAAAGGTTGTTTGGAACCATTCTAACAAGGAATCCCACCTTGTAACGTGTCGCTCTAAACTGTAGTCGCATTATGCTATATATGTTACCTATGATACTGGATATTATATAATCTTGCCTTAACATCTATCACTTACACATAAGCCGGTGGGTAGAGTCTGAGCGTCTCTGTGATCACGTTATCCAGATACTTCAGTTTCCCAATGTTGTCATAGTTTGGTTCTTCCTAACAAACAAACGCATAAGGTTAATATACCAGTATATGGAAGAGTGATTATAACGTTTGAGTTAGAAGGGGGGTAGAGGAAGTAACAGTGATGCAGAAAGTTGCTCATCCTTATCTTTAAGTATACTGTTGTTGAATTACCTTGACAGTAATTTCAAATAATGCATTTCCGAACTTCTAATGTATCACATTGTTCAGGGCTACTGTGAGTCAGGTGCTATATTTTAGAAGCACAATAGAACATAGGTAGTTGTAATAATTGTGTGTCTTTATATTTCAAATTATCAGCCAATGAAACAGTTTATGAATATTCAAAGTATATATGGACAAAGATAACCAACATCATGAACGAGACTGAAGACAGCAAATTGTAAATGACTGTCCACTTTAACTGAAAATCATCTTGTGCTTATGATACTGACATTTCCCAATATTTCTTTGATTTCATTGTAAGCCTTCTCCTGCACACCCGGGTTCATGGCCAGGTTGTAAGATATGAAAGAAAGGGATGTCCCAGTCGTTTCATAACCAGCGACAAAGAACAGTATGCACTGAGCAACTACTTCTTCCGTCGATAGATCTGTAATGTATAACTCACAATTAATATACTGTGACGTCAGTATGTTAATGGGATGGTAATCACAAAGTGTAATATATAACAGGTAAATAATGCACTACAGCCTTGTCTTCTGCAGAAAATACGAATAATTCCATGTCACTCTTGTTCTTACGATTTTCGGGATAGAAAATGTAGCATAAATTTGTGTAATAGTCGATACACAGCGTTTTGACTACGTAAATATGTATAGCTGTAACGTTGTGAAATAACGTTTTGAAATGGCGTAATATTAAAGTTCTGTCAACATTGTGGCATGACACTACCAATTTGCATCTACAATACGATGACCAAATGAATCACATCGGTTAACAATACCTTGCCGAAACAGCCAACATATCAATTGTTATCAGAGTGTATGTTTTGTTAATTTGTAATATCATTGGCTAAGTGGGTTTTTGCTCGCATCGCGCATCATATATGTTCTATGGCAGTAGTATTTGTAAGTAGCCTTTTCAATAGCGTTTCAGAGTTGCCTCCCTTGAGGCAATCTTTTGTGTTTGTTTTGACTTACTGTCTTGTCTATGATGGCTTTCGTGAATGCTCTGAGTGGATAAATATGCAGCCTATCTTTACTAGAATGCTCCAGAACTGTGTATGAGCTATATAAAGGCTGATTGTTGCGTTGTGCGGCGGGACTTAACACACAGACTTATCACATCACTGGAGTTATACACTGTCTGCCATGGTCTAGGTTGCTCAACATCGTCAAGACTGACCGTGCTTCCCAATATTCAGCTGTTGTCATTGTAAACAACCTTCTATCAGCATATCTGCTCTCACCTTGAATGTCAAGCCTCAGGTGAGTTAATATCCTATATTTGTGACCCAATATTTTAGATTTGTGACTCAATTGCATTGTGCAAGAAATCTCTGTTCATTTATTGTAGCTTTCTCATTGTTTGGTCAATATATTATTGAATATTTTAGACTTGTCTGTGTTGCTATTTTGTCACGGCAAATTATTCACCGTAACACAATGCCGTGTGTATGGTACAACCAGAAAACAAAACGAATTAACCCCCTCTCAGTTGCTACCACTGATGAGGTGTCAAGTTCCTAATTTTGTTGAGTATATACATAGCTGAATTGTAGTTGAGCTATTTTGTGTAAAATAAACATTGTTGTAATCTCCAACATCATTTATCCTATGTTATCAAACAATTATTTACGTCATTGTCCTCTTTTGATTTCGAAAGTTTACAATATAGGTGCTACTCGCATTGCTGCTAAGAACAACTTTGCTATATACTCTGCAACATCGAATACACGCCAAATATACAACCAGTAACATTAATGTAAAACACTAGGAACAAGTTACATTTTAACGTTGCCTGATGACCCTACATATATCAAATACACATGATTTGACTAATGTATGGCTTCAGAGAAAACGTCATTGAATGCATAGGTGCGACAATGCAAAGCTGACAATGCCAGAGAATCAGCTTGTAACACTGCGACCTATCATTGTCCTACAGTGTCTACTTACGCCTGACTGAATGTTTGACCGTTTGACCATCAGCGTTGCTGTTGTCTTTCACCTCATTTATCGAAGCATCCATCATCATTTGCAAGAAGTCTGTTGGTCCCTGTTAAGAACATCGTATTGAGTGACGACACCAAACAGAAAAAAACAACTCACTCACTCCATGTTATAAATATCGTATTGATTATTTACGGCCCTTGCTGTGACACGAAACAGAAAATACACGAATATTAAAATAACTCGAATTCGTAAAGGATGTATGTATAAAATGTTAAATATACGACAATCCAGTACTTCAACAGTTGTTCTAACCACAGTCTCACATGATAGTGACTGATTTCCTCAAACCTCTTGTTGGCGTGTTTTATCATTCCGCCTCTGTTGCATCATTTCTTTGGTGACCTTCTCAAAGAAGGCAATGTCTTTTTTTCGAAAGACTCCCAAGCCGAGCTTACTGATGACTGGTTCAAGTGCTGGAATAGCGGCTTCAAACAGAAATAAAAGTCATTTCAGACTTTAAATAACAATGTTGGTACTGGACTGGCTTGATGGTTAAAGCGTTCGCACATCATGCCACGGGTTTGATTTCAGACATGCGTACAATATGTGAAGACCAATTCTTCTGTCCCCACCGTGTTATTGCTGGAATGTTAACGTTGCTAAAGCGGCAAACAAACAAAACAACAAAAAACATACTCACTCACTCACTTAACAAAGCCAAAAATTGCAACTACTGTTTATGGATTTACGGCATGGAGGCACAGACCCTCGGATCTTTTTGGAGATTAAAGTTTAAAAGAAAAAAATTGAGATGACCCTGAACTCGAAATGCTTCACACGACAATTAATCATGATTTACTGTACTGTGAAAAGTAATTTTAATCTTTAATCCTCGTAAAGACACGAGGGCCTGTGCAGGAAGGGTAAATGCTTTAACCTCTAATTTAAGTCAGTTTCCTTGTCACTTACCTGACAATACAGAGAATGCAATTCCCAGCTTTGATGGTCGGAATAACTTCTTAGCACGAACGACAAACGGGTGGTTGAAATCAGTTTGTGAATCAACCTTAATCCCAAAGGCCGTTTGGCAAATCACATCCATAGAGAAGGCTCCAAAGTATCTGTGAGAGACCATTTCAAATGTGAGTAGTATAATACTTCTTGTTTAACAATTAGTTACTGTTAGGCCATAATGGTGAGGATAATGGTGAGGATCATGGCTCGAAATCATATTTTGTCTACTTCAGATTCGGTTTTAATAATAATAATGATGATGATAATAATGTACGCCTCTCCGTGGTGGGCCTAGATAGGGGAATTTTATTCGTACATCACCCAGTTAGGGATGACCCCCCGAAGCTGGTGTTACCGTAAAGCCAAGGAGAATATCATCTTTCAACTCCGCAGCCCAGTCAGCCTTCCTCCGGTAGTAAAACCAACCTTACTGGAGATGGGACTTGCCCCAGGGGAATGCACAGCACCCGATCAAGACTATCTTGGTCAAACCATCTGAAAACCATCCTACTAGAGTGTGCAAGAGCGACAGGATGGCCTGCAAATCCGCGAATAAACGGAAAGTCGCTGAAGCTGCATAGGGACAATGCCATGCCCATGTATGCTTACCTGACGGAGCAAAATCTCCGAGATCAATTCCGGCGGCTTAAAAATCTCATGCCCCGTGAGCCAGTTCAACCCATAACTGATGCCCGTCAGGAACCTTTGCATGAGCAGAATGCTCAAGTGGCAGCAGACCCAAAACTTCTGATGTCGTCCGTGTTAACCTCTCTCCTCTTCCTGATGGAAACTCTTCCGGCACTGAGCCAGTTGGCCCAGAAATTTCGGATCCTCACTCTTCCTCTTCCTCAGTTGCAGATCTTTCCGAAAATCCTGTGTATATTTTGTTTCTTTCTATTTATGATGAAATATCTGATTTACCTTTAGAAAAACGGAGGCCAATTAAACAAATAACTGAATCTTTTCCCAAAACTGAAATTAATTTATTAAATGACATTATTTCTATGAAACTTTCATCGGACTGTTCATTACATGAAGTTAATTGTTGTGTCTATGCTGCCGCTCGTACCTTGGAGGAACTTCACACAGTTTCCAAAGAAAACACATCCAATACCAAGAACAATACACGAAAGAAAAACCGGTTTCAAGTGAAACTAACAGAAACTAGAAAATACATTTCCTGGATAGAGCTTTGCCTGAAGTTAAGATATCAGGGAATCCTATGTCTAAACGACAAAAGGCAATTTGGAGAAAATTAAAACTGAAATACAAAACAACGAAAGAAAAGATACTTCTCCAAATTGTCGATTCCCTTAAGGCAAAAATGAAGGTTTGGACTGAAAGAAAGAAAAAATGGGAAAATAAAAATAAATTCATCAAACAAAATAAACTTTTTAGAAATAATGAAAAACACTTCTACAGGAACTTAAAACAAACGGTGATGGTGAGCATGATAAACGGCCTCCCATGGATGCCAATGAAAGGTTCTGGAAACAGTTGTGGTCTGTACCCGGCGACTGTAACCTGGAGGCACCATGGGTCCGTGATTATGACCATGCTATGCATGAGAAAGTAACTAGGTCGTTTGTCTGTTACATCTCATCAGATTGCCTGAAAAGTGTCATCAAAAAGTCCAAATATAAATACAGTTCCAGGGCCTGATGGCATTCGAAACCGATATTGGTAACTGTTCCCCTGTGTCCAAACACCATTATTTCACTGTTTCAATTCTCTTGTGGACACAGGTGATGTTCCTCCATGGTTCTGCAAAGGTCGCACAATACTCCTTCCCAAAAAAGGAGACTTGACTAATCCCAAAGACTTCCGCCCTATCACATGTATGAATACTCAGTTCAAAATCTTAACAGGGTGTTTAACAAGTCTCGTGTCATCTTACTGCTCTTCCAATGATATAAATTACAGAGAGCAGAAAGGGGCGAGAAAGGGATGCTGGGGGTGCAAGGATCAACTTCTTGTACAGAAAATGATTTTGGATTTTTGTCTCTAAATCCTTTGAGCTTTCTGCTCAACAGAGAGGAGGGTTACCATCCCGGACCTCCTCAGCACAGATCCCCAACACTGCTTACTCATCTTCTTTATATGGATGACATCGAGCTCCTTGCCAAAGGAGATACCAATTTAAAAGAACAGGTTCTCCTTGTCAAGTCCTTTTCTAATGATATTGGCATGACATTTGGACTCGACAAATGTAATACTCTTCATTTGAAACGTGGCAAGGTAGTTAATGATGGATCGGTCAAGTTACAGGGGGGAGGAGTTATTGAGCATCTTGTGGAAAATCAGGCCTACACCTATCTTGGAATGCAAGTTCGAGACAAGCTCCAGAATGCCCAAATTCAAGACAAACGTCGGGCCGAGTACAAATCTCGCTTAAAGAACATCTGGAGCTAAATGCTCGAAACAAGGTCAAAGCCACCAATACTTTTGCCGTGCCAGTCCTCTCCTATTCCTTTGGAGTAGTTGACTGGACAAAACAAGACATCCAGAGTCTTAACCGCCTGACCAGAAGGATCATGTCTGATAACAGAGCCCACCACCCTCGTTCCTCTCTTAACTGTTCGGTCGGGGTTTGATTAATGTGGAGGCTATTCATGATAGAATTTCATTGTGTACTTTTGCACATATTTATTTATCGGATGGTCCTTTGATGATGCATGTTAAGACTCAAGCAATTCCACAGCTATTTTAAGCGTGCCAAGGCTGTTGGACAGAATCTGAAATTTGAGGTTGATTTTGTTGATGGCGATGTACTGCTGGACGGTACAGGGATGGGAGTAAACCAGGCGAAGTCCTTCACCAAGTCTGCCCAGAGTCGGTCTTTTGTGGAGAAGCTTTCTGAGAAGCCATTGCATCGTGTGTACATGCAGTGTGTGGAACAGAATAGCAATCCCACCGACTCCTTCGCCTGGATGAAGTCGCCTGGTCTTAAATGTGAAACTGAGGGCTTTCTTTTTGCTGCTCAGGACCAATCACTTCCCACTCGCAATTGCCTAAACGTTACTCTTAAAGAAAATATTAACATGAAATGCCGACTGTGTAATGAATTTACAGACACTGTCCAACACCTTGTCAGTGGATGCTCTTCTTTGGCACAAACAGCATATCTTAAACGACATGATGACATGGCTCGTTGCTTTTACTACCGTCTCCGCCATGTCTGTGGCTTTGACTCTGAGGTCCATCCATGGTACGACCCTGAACATGTCCAGGGCGTCATGGAAAATGATGCTTTCAAACTGCTGTGGAACAGGCCCATATACAGCCTCAGAAGAATTCCTGCCAACAAACCTGATCTTGTCCTTTTTGATAAAGCCAATGAATTTATTTATATCATTGAATTTTCTGTCCCTTTTGACACCAATGTGATTGGCAAGATTCAGGAAAAGCATGATAAATATGCGGACCTCGCCTTTGCAATGTCTCGCCTGCATCCCAAGTACACTGTCGCCAGGCTCCCCATTTTCCCTTGGTTTGGTACCTCCTGATCTCTTGGCGCAAATCAGGAGAGTGCACGGGTGCTCCACCGGGAGCACAGCCCTTCTGACACTCTGGGTAATACAAAAGGCTGCAGTGTTGGGGAGCCTTCATATTCTCCGGAAAGTTCTTGGTGGGTTCGACTAGGCAGTGTTTCCTGGAAGAAGTCCCATTCGCTGTCTGGGCTGCGTGTAGGGGGGACTAGGGCCCTGAACTGATGATGAGCCTCACCAGCCTGACTGAGGATCACCTGAACCCTTCCTGCTGCATTTTCATCACTAATCTGTAAAACATAATAATAACTACATGCTCGAAGCAATCTGATTATTGTTAGCCCGGATAACCCAAGGTGCCTGTGAGGCGCTAGAAGGTTAATGGTTACATGCCTTATCACACCGGGTAGCCATTTTCTGCTGGGTAAACAGGGGCAATTTTGAACACACTCACTTGCCTACGGTGAGACCACATGTCTCATGTGCTTCGTTGTGGGGCAGGACTGAAGTCCTGGAAACTCTCAGGAGTAAAGCTGCCAAACACGGTCACCAATCCAAGGACACTACGCGCCCAATATTGCCTAACTTCATCTGATTGTGACCTGATCTCTATGTACAGGACCACCCGCCACCACAGATTAGCCTTTCATATTAACAACATCAGACTCAGTGTTAAATGGCAACTGCAATCACAGGCCCTCGTGTTTTTGCGAGGATTAAAGATGTAAAAAAAAAAACATAAAATATTAGAGATGACCCCCGACTCGAAATGCTTCACAGTACAATACATGACAAGGCCGGACACTTCGGTGTACCCTACCCGCCTGCTTTGCCGATCGCTACGCTACCATCGCATGCAATGTAAACATAATCATGGATGATTGGCCTATCGAGCACCACTCATCACACCTACTATTTATTTATTGTTATTTCTGCAAGTCGATTGAAACCCGATTTTGACCCCCAGCTAAACGATCTTGACACAAATAGATGACGATATGTCCGCACAAACTGGGGGTGTGGTCGAAGCAAGCCCTCTGGTTAGTTGATCCTTGTTTAGGAGACATTTACTCTGATGCTTTCTTTTTGAGAAGACCCGTGAAGATCCGGGGTAGAATAGGTCTTCAGCAACCCATTCTTGTCATAAAAGGCGACTATGCTTGTCCTAAAAGGCGACTAACGGGATCGGGTGGTCAGGCTCGCTGACTAGGTTGACACATGTCATCGGTCCCCAATTGTGCAGATCGATGCTCATGCTGTTGATCACTGGATTGTCTGGTCCAGACTCGATTATTTCCAGGTCGCCGCCATGTAGCTGGAATATTGCTGAGTGCGGCGTAAAACTAAACTCACTCACTCACTCTTTTGAGAAGCCATTGCTCGAAAAATATTCTTACATTAAGCAGTCGATGAGAAAAAAAAGAAAAAAATCCCGCCAATTTATAAAGAATTGCAGATTTTGCAAGCGTTGACCAATCAGAGGGCTTGCTTCGACCACACCCCCGTTTTGTGCGGACATATCGTTTAGTAAAGAGTCAAAATCGGGTTTCAATCGACTTACAGATATAACAATGAAGAATTGGTAGGTTTCATGATTGGTGATCGATAGGCCAGTCATCCATGATTATGTTCACATTAAGTTTTAATCGATTACATGCGATGGTAGCGTAGCGATCGGCAAAGCAATCGGGCGGGGTATACCGAAGTGTCCGGCCTTGTCATAATGTATTGTACTGTGTAGCATTTCGAGTCGGGGGTCATCTCAAATGTTTTTTTAAAAATTAATTGTTAATCTTTGCAAAGACACGAGGGCCTGTGACTGCAATGGGATGTTAATCTCTGGTTTTCAGCAGCATGAGCAATGATTCACGACTAAAGCATTTTGTCAAGCAAAATAAATTTCGAATTTGATATCTTTCATTTCGTATCGTACTGTTCTTGATGCATTGAGGGATTCAACATTTGTAAAGAAACAAATCCTTCAACACTACGACTCACTCTTTTACAGTAACCCCGTCCTTCTTTCCCAAGACTTTCGAGAAATTTGTTGTAAGAGTCCTTGCACAATCGTTGATGGCTCCGCACATCTAAATACAGAAACGAAAAACATGCTAATTTCTGCCAAATGAGGGCCTGTCAAAACGTTATGAGCCTAAAATATGTAGAGGCAGAACATCGGTGCTATACCCATTTATTTCTCAACATAACCGCCTTGTAAGTCGATGCACTTGGTCCGTCTTTTTGGCCAGGCATTTATGCTTTGTCTGTAGAAGTCTTTTTCTTAGTCCTGTAGCCACGACTCCACAGCTCTAGTGAGTTCCTCGAATGATTATCCTCGAATCTCCTACCGAAGGCGCTTCTTCAGATTGAGAAACAGGTGGTTGTCACTTGGTGACTGGTCTGGAGAATTGGGTGGATGAGGTAGGATATAAAATCCACATTTTTTCAACAGCGGCCAGTGCAACACGACTTGTGTGGACTGGAGAGAAGAACTCCACGCCTGAGTTTGCTACGGCGCTTCTCCTTGATGGACTGTGTCATCTTCAGTAGGGTACCATAGTATTCCCCATTCATCGTAGGTACTCGTGGGAGGTCATTTGTACTCCTCACACAAATTTGTAGTCTCATTACATTTTCATTCATTGAAATTGCAAATCATGGATTGATGCAATAGAAAGGTGAAACAAATGTACACACGATTAACAAAATGAAATGGTATTGAGCAATAATAGACTTTTACAAATCATCAAACACATGTACCTGCGAAACAGTCGTGCAAAATGTGCTGCATTGATGGAGCAAAAAGCAGTGAAGCAGTGTTCAGTAACGCTTATGACCACCATGAGCACAAATGCAAGCTTCTACACGTCTTTGCATTGACCAATAAGTTGATGTTGTGGAATGTTCTGCCATTCTCTTTATAACGCCTGCTCAATCCGTTTCTTAAATGAATAAAATATTTGTCCATCAATCAACGCCTGCTCAAGGTCATCCAGAGTTTGGGGTGAACATGGAGACCGTAAACACGACTTCCAATAATGTCTCAAGCATGTTCAATTGAATTCAGATCAAGTGACCTTGCAGGCCAGTCCATATGTGTGATGTTGTTGATCTAAACAACATCGTTAACAACTCTTTCTCAGCATTATCATCCATGGACGGGCATTACCATCCATAAAAATAAAGTTAGGATCCGACTGTTGTGCCAGAGGAATGATTACAGGTAGGTTTACACCGATCAGTGTACTTGTGTGAAGAGTGGAGCACATATATGCCACACATTTGCATGATGTTTCAGAGTGAAGATGTGTTCGGGTGATGTTGTCAATGTTATCAGATAAATCAATTCGACAGTCACTAAAGGTTATGTATTCTTTGAATATTTTCAGTAACATGTCGGTAAAAATCGCTGTCGAGATTGATGAAGATTTTACACTGAAAATACTTGTTGCTTAATATTTTGTGAGGAGTATATGTGGATGATGCCTTGGCCATCCCAAAATACGGTGGCCATAACCTTCCTGGTCGATCTGGACGACTTAAACGTCTTGGTCGGAGGACACTTGGCGTGCTTTTACTCCATGGAGTCTTGTTTGTCATGTGAAGATGTTCATGGATACAATTGATCCATATGAGATGCCAGCTCTAATTCATAAATGGAGATTCGACAGTTGGTCATTACCAGGGTGTGCAGCTGGTCAATGTTTTCCGGGCTGGGGCTTGTTGTGGGCCGACCAGGACGGGGGTCATCTTCAAGACCCTCTCCACCGCACTGGAATTCCCTCACCTATTGCTTGATGGTTGCAGATGATATGCAAACCTTCCCATATACTGCTGTCAATTGCTCTTTAATGTGCTTCACTGGGTGGCCCTCGAGGACCAAACACTTAGTGACTGCTCTGTACTCAAGGTTATCCATTTATGCCATTTCAATAGGGGTACATCTGATTAGATGTCACGCGACCTTAAACTAGCGGTATGTGGATGTCAGTATTGCGTTTCTGTGAATGATGTAATGATCTTCAATATCATACAGTTATTTTAATCCTGCTCATTTCAGAAGTATTTTAGGCTCAAAACGTTTTGATAGCCACTCCTACATAAAGCAGTCACAAAATGGGACAACACTTATCGCCAAATTGTTTTGAATAAACTTCAGATCTCGGTCAACACAACATGCATTACTCATTTTCAATGTTACGTTAAACCTCTTGACATCTCACCTCACCAAATGTCATTTATAAAGTTCATGGGTCACAGTTTTGCTTGTACACGGTGTGGTTATATGTCCATGTAAGTTTAAGTCTTTTCACAATGAAATCAAATGGAAAAGTCAAGTGCTAACGATAATCATTCTGATAATTCATTCTCGCAGTATATAGACGAATAGGGTTACATACCCGCCTCAGTTTGACACCAGTGAATGTGGGAGTTATGGTACTTCTCACTCTCTTCCACGCGGCATCTTCCAAGAAAACCAAAGCACAATTCATAGGGTAGGGCGCTGGCAGTACCTGAAGGCAGAAAAATGTAAAGAGACAAAAAGTAGGAAACTAAAATCTTTCATTGATATGATTACACTTGTTACATAATCTTTACATCCGAATACAAGGTCCATTTATAGGGTTCAATAGCAGTTGTTATCATCAACCACCCCGTGACATCTGTTACTCAGAGTAACAGCAGTATAGCTTGTATGTGCTGAGTAATGCTTACTTCGGGAGGATGACATTATCAAAACGTAAAATTATTACTTTCATGGGCCTAGATCCTGACTAAATAAACAACATTGCTTACCACCCGGTTTCTGAAATTGTCAAAACTCTTGACCATAACCTCTTTCAGAATTTCAAGATCCGAGATAACATAGGCGGGAGATCTTCCAAAGAAGATTCTGCACAACAGAAACGTCAAACATGAAGGTATGTAAAATCTGAGCTCAAAGAAATAAATACATTTTACTTGTTTACTGGCCAGCTGTTTCCTACTCAAGTTAAAAAATGGTTAAGTGACACAAAGCAATATTTCGTAAACCTGAGTGCAAACAAACGAACATATTTGTTAGCAGTCATACACACGTTTTCGTTTCAATATAATCTGGTACCACAGAATATTTTTGAATTTTTTATCCATCTTCTTTTAATGTTCCCAGTTTTATCCATCACGTTCTTATCGGTGACACACGTGTGTTGTTAAGGTACCAGCTGTTTCCTCCTCGAGTTCTCATACATAATGACTCTTTGTGTGACGACAGGACACACTTGTATAACTTTGCATGATATAGGTTAATATGCATACACACGTACGTACCCAAAAACACCTCCATATCGCTTACTCCAGGCGTACAGATCATGTCCGAAATTCTGCATAAAAAAAGAATAAACTTTGCTGCAATATTTCCACTTGACATAACTATGTTTACCTTATCTTATCTAATATTCTCCACTATCCATTCCAATGTTAAACAGACTCTAGTCCTATCAGAATCCAAGCTGTATGAATGCATTGTATTGCATCCCCATGTTTTTTTCGGAAGTGACAGCTTTGTGTTGTCTGAAACTCGGAAACGTACTCTCCTCGACACTTAACATGGTGCTAGGCGGATAATCCGGTGACAAAGATATATACTGAGTCAAAAAAGAAACTTCACAAAATGTAATTTGAAAAATAATGAATAATTTTTCTCTGATGATACATCTATGTATCCGAAATGGGATCCCTATCTTTCGACTCTAGAGAAACGTTAGCAAAACCCACTCAAACCCATCCATTCGTCGTGCAAATGACGTTAGTGCCAAATCAGGTTTTGCACGTGCAGTCGATCACGTGATCTTCGCATCGAAGTTTTCTTCATATGCACGTGTTTGCATTAGCCTCAAGAATTGAAAAAACACCTTTAAACCACAGTTCCAACGGTACTTGAAATGCCACGATTGTCAAATGTGCAACGTGAACGTGCCGTTGGCATGTTGCAAGCGGGAAGATCAGTTATTGACGTCGCAAGAGCAATGGGATGCAGGGGTCGTACTGTGTATGACTTGCGAGGTCGTCTACAACAAACTGCCACCACTTCTGATCGCCCAAGGTCGAGTCGTCCACTCGTGACGTCACGAGTAGAAGACCGTCAAATCGTCCTACGTCACCTACGTGACAGATTTCTGCCGGCTACACGAACCAGGGCTGAGTTGTTTAGAGGTCGACTGTGACCATTCGAAATCGGTTGCGGGCTGCCAATCTCCATTCTCGACGTCCATATCGTGGGCCAATATTGACGCCGTTTCATCAACGTCAACGTCCGCTGTGGGCCCAACGTCACCTCCGATGGACCCAGAGAGACTGGAATCGAGTCGTCTTTAGCGACGAATCCAGGTTAACCCTCAGATTCGCGGACGGAAGACATAGAGTCTGGAGACGACGTCGTGAACGGTATGCCCAATGTTGTGTACAGGAAGTCGACAGATTCGGGGGCGGAAGTTGCATGGTGTGGGGTGCTTTCTGTGGTAACAACCGTTCCCGACTTCTGGTCATCCGTGGAAACCTCACAGCTGCTGCTTACCGCGACCAGGTGCTCACCCCTGAACTCGTTCCTTTCATGGCGGCTCATGGCCCAGGTCTACAGTTCCAGCATGATAATGCTCGGTCGCATACCGCGATGTTGACACGAAATTTCCTTCAAAACGCTGGAATCAACGTCATGGACTGGCCATCGAGGTCCCCTGACCTTAATCCAATAGAACACGTTTGGGGTGCACTTGGGAGAAGGCTTCGTGGTCTTTGGAACCAACCTCAGAATTTGCAGGAACTTGGCGCTGTCTTGCAAGAGCAATGGCGCAGAATCCCCAACCACGTGTTCACAAGCATCAGGCAGTCGATGAGGAGACGGTGTTTGGCAGTGGTGAATGCGCGGGGCGGCCATACACGATATTGAACTGAGCAATTTCGCATTTTTATTCTTGTGACTTGACATTCTGTATACCCATGTTTTGGAACGGCGGTGTAGCCTAATGAAACTGATTATGGCACTGTCAGTGTATCGAGTACATCACACAGATCCGAGCAATGAAAGAATAACAATTTAACCATCTTACCATCAAATTGTTCTTTTTATAGTGCCCTGAAGAAAGAATGTGAAGTTTCTTTTTTGACTCAGTATATTATAAAGTAACCTTTAAACACAATCTCTCTTAATTACAGTGAGTGAGTTTAGTTTTACGCCGCACTCAGCAATGTTCCAGCTACATGGCGGCGGTCTGTAAATAATCGACTCTGGACGAGACAATCCAGTGATCAACAGCATGAGCATCTATCTGCGCAATGGGGAACCAATGTAACCGTTTTTAAAGATAGTTTTATAAAACCTACCGCACCAGTGTTGTTTCCAATACAACACGTTGGTTCTGGCCCTGGAACGCCCTGCTTCTTGAAGTAATTGTAGTTCCATCTTCCATATCTGTATATAGAAACGACAAAACTCTTTCCACATCCATAGGACATCTATGCTGAAAGCAGAGTCGTGTGTACAATTCTGACTATAGTATTAGTAGGTGTCTGTTTGAAGCCACATTCAGCAGTATGTTAAAAAATCGAGTCTGCACCAGACAATCAAGGGACATCATGGAATACTATAACAGAGTATGTATATAAGTCACTTTCAAACAGTGATGATATCAGGTCTTCGCGAAAAGGCGAGCCTATCCTGCTGCACTAGAAGCACCGGTCTAAAACATGTCCAAAGGTTAATCATGAAAATTCCTGAAAATTTTTGGAATGTATGGTACAAGTCGAAATTGGTAATTGCATCGGACTTCTACCGGATATACCAGTGACAAAGATATATTATGACGTAACCTTTAAACAAAATTTCATTATTAATTACAGTGAGTTTAGCTTTACGCCACACTCGGCAATATTCCAGGTATATGTCGGCGGTATGTAAACAAGTGAGTCTGGAGCAGACAATCCAGTGATCAACAGCATGAGCATCGATCTACGTAATTGGGATGTGATGACATGTGTCAACCAAGTCAGCGACCCTGACCATCCGATCCCGTTAGTCGCCTCTAACGACAAACATGGGTTACTGAAGATCATTTCTAACCCAGATCTTCACGGGTCGCAGAACAAAACAGAGCGGTAGTAAATTTCCAAGACAATATAATACAAGAACACTGATAATAGCACTAACGAATAAGCAGAGTACCCAGGATATAATGATCATCACACACAATGTTTGTCGTCTTATAACTTGAGATATAACGTGACGTTGGTAAGTAGGTACAGCTTGATCAGCTTGACCTGAGCTACTCTACATATGCATGACCCGGGAGGTCAAATGGCACAAACGGCAGGTCGAGTTACCCTCATTAAATAGGGGAGCAGAGAATGTTATTAATGTTGCTGAGATGTCAAGAGGCGATCTTGTCTCGGCTGTTTGGACATGTTGACAATCAACTGACAAAGGTGCACCCCTTCACAATAATAGACCCAACCAGTTGTGACACGGTCACGTAGTGGATTAGTATTCACTTGATAAGGTCAGTCTGAACTAGCTGTAGGTAAGGTTTTAGGGCAACCTTGGGCCTGATGCTCCCAAACTGTTATATTTATGTTCAGCAAAATTATACCATACTCGCCGTTTGAATGAGGAAGTCTAACACAGTTTGTGTTTGTAACCGTATATGAAATTAACTCCGAGTATTGTGCTTATTGTAAAAATGTTTTTCCTTTTGTTAAGCACAGTTTCTTCGAGAGCCTGATATGTTTTTTCATGAGCTGGACATTCAGTGAGATAGTGCCTTTTCTGCGCCGTGTAAGTTACAGTATTCACGTAGACAATCTCTATGAATTCAAGCCACAATGGCCCAGCCTGAGGCGGGTCAAAACCACTTCATCTCGCCAACGTCGACGCCGACGAAGTTTTAAAATGCTTGTTTAATACTGGACAAGCATAGTACATGTGTCTACCAGTAGTTTCATGGTCCCATGTCCTGTGCCAAATTGCATTTACTGAAGATAAAATGACCTAATAGATTCAATATCTGGCTGCTGTCGGCCATCTTAGCAAGTCTGTCAGTATAACGTGAGATGCAAATCAAGAGTTAGCATTCCTCTTATATACACAACAATAAGATATCAGAAACTTCTAAAACACAATCTGAGCCTCGATGAATATCACATGTATAATGCATTACACATGGAACATTTGTTCACAATACGTAGCAGAAGGCGGTGCGAATACATTGGCGGGTATATTTGTCGGGGGCGCGGTGGGCGAACTGGCTATTTTTAAAGCGCCAGGCTAGTGATCCAGCGAGCTTGAGGTGACGGGATCGAGCCCACCTGTGACCGGGTGTAAAAACCTTGGAGTCAACTTTGTGTGCAGACTCTTTCAGTGTTGTCACAACCCCTAGTGTACAGCACACAACCCTGTGCACTTAAAAGAACCCACGAATCCGTTGGTAGATGACCAGATGGTGGCCACATGAATACGTGCAAACACCCAGTTGCGGGTACAGCAACGTGCAGTGAACTTGGACAAAGTACTGTGACTATGTGTCCCAGTCCACCCAGCTGTGAATGGGTACCTCGTAAGGATGGGAATGCCACAATAACTCAGTGCGCCTAGTTGCTGCAAGAGTTTTATGATCCCCAGGGAGTTGTGATTGTCAATTGGATGTGCCGTTGACATCCAGTGAACGAGGGAAAAACAAAGCGCCTTTGAGCAGCTGAGCTGAGCTGGATATCGGCGTTGTATGTATGTATGTATGTATGTATGTATGTATGTATGTATGTATGTATGTATGTATGTATGTATGTATGTATGTATGTATGTATGTATGTATGTATGTATGTATGTATGTATGTATGTATGTATGTATGTATGTATGTATGTATGTATGTATGTATGTATGTATGTATGTATGTATGTATGTATGTATGTATGTATGTATGTATGTATGTATGTATGTATGTATGTATGTATGTATGTATGTATGTATGTATGTATGTATGTATGTATGTATGTATGTATGTATGTATGTATGTATGTATGTATGTATGTATGTATATACAGCTGTCAGCAATATTCTGTCTGTGCAGATTCAAAAGTGATATAATACAAGAGTAGTGACAATATCAATAAAGACAGTGATGATAATGGTGGCCACACAGCAGCAATAATCCAACCTGAAACTTAGTAGTTTTCAGGGCATGATGATCATCACACGCAGTGTGTAACTCTTGACTCATCTTAAGCTTAGATAGTTTTCTGTATATGTATATAAATAAGAAAGATACAAGACAATTTTACAATGCAGTTTGAGTCAGATGGTTCTTGAATCAGCTCCTTGTAGCACTTTTCAGATCTTTCTGTCTAAATTAGACCCGTGAAGATCCGGGGTAGAATAGGTCTTCAGCAACTCATGCTTGCCACAAAAGGCGACTATGCTTGTCGTGAGAGGCGACTTACGGGATCGGGTGGTCAGGCTCGCTGACAAGGTTGACACTTGTCATCGGGTCCCAATTGCGTAGATCGATGCTCATGCTGTTGATCACTGGATTGTCTGCTCCAGACTCGATTATTTACAGACCGCCGCCATATAGCTGGAATAATGCTGAGTTCGGCGTAAAACTAAACTCACTCACTGTCTAAATCAAGTACGAGGCTAACTGTAGCACATCACTGCCTCTCAGTGAATATCTTATGTGTTATACTTGTCAGCAGTCTGCACCTTCTCAGAGATGCTAGTGATTGATTTTTTAAGCACATGGTCCATTCCATCAAGGAATGCTGTCATAATTCAGTAAGTCGGGTAAAATTATTTATCTTTCTTTGAAAACTAACAAAAGCCATATCAGGTTTTAAACTCGTTGTATAATGTAATGTCTATTGTACATAGATATATGATGGATCTGCATTTTCAACAAGATCTGCAAGTGCATGTCCGCAATGTCCTTGTACATCCCAGTATTATGACTGACTGATTGTTTCGCATTTTCTGTTTGTTCATTTTGTGTACATGACAATGGAGGAAATAAAGTATATATATACATCTGTAACAGTCTCCCTTATCCATAAAAACGTATCGATTTGACCAGTGAATATACAGGTTAGAACTGTTTTTCACCAACCCAGGCTTGTAAGAGTAAACTAAGTGATCGTTTGGTCATTCTCGCTGATTTGTTGACATGTGTCATAGGATCCCTGTTGGGTAGAGGGTGGGGTAGCCTAGTGGTTAAAGCGTTCGCTCGTCATGCCCCGCATGGGCACAATGTGTGAAGCCCATTTCTTGTGTCCCCCGCCGTGATATTGCTGGAATATTGCTAAAAGCGGCGTAAAACCAAACTCACTCACTTACTGTTGGGTAGATCTATGTTCGTGACGTCAATGGTGCTGCATTAAACAACTAACAGACTCCAAGATTTAAACATTAATTATAGCAGACGCAATACTCTACATAGACACGACGGGCATGTACAGATATTGATACCTGGCCTTGGAGTTCTTCGCAAACATAATTTTCGTCCATACCAATATAGCTGTCCACAAGAGCCATGCCGGCTGTAGATAGAAGATAGCTTGTGTCGTATGTCAGTTACTTTATTGACAAAAGGGTAACGTGGTCCGAGAGGTGACTGAACAACTCTGGGTCTATATATAGTTAACAAGGCCAGACTGTGCTGATACAATGTGACCTCATTTATTGACGTCTCACTCACGAAGACGCATGCACACAAACATACAAACATGGACACACACACACAAAGTGAAAGAGAGAGAAAGTGACACGCAGACGTAGCATCCAAACATGAACACACACACGCACACACACACCACACGTACATGCATATGGACGTGTTGAAATAAATGAGCACCTTCGTTCTGAACTAAAGCCATTAACATGCGAGTATTACCTGCGTGAACGTTGATTTGTTTATTTGCAGTTGATAACTATCTCGTTTGTTTTGACTGATCGAGCAGGGTGAAAGGTTAACAGTATTTCATGACTTAATAACGCTTCGTAGATGTATTTGAAAACGTCCATTCGGATATATAGTCAGCTGAACAACGATCACGTGTTATGTATTCAGCATGATTTTACAAAATGGATTCATTTTAGAAATAGTATTGTTTTGACATTAAGTTTTATCGTACGAAATTGTAGCTAAATATATTCTGTTATACAATGTCACCTGTTAAAGATGCTCCCGTAATGCTGTATGTTTTCTATGAACAAAGTTGCCTACTCACATGTAGATCAGCACTGTGGCCGCCAAGCTCAGTAGAAGATACAGCGGCACGTCCACAAGCCCCAAGATCTCCATGTCGATATGACGACTGGAAAGGTGAACGGCTCTTATCACACAAAACAAACCACACTATATAACGTGTCCTACTTGTTCCGAAACTAGGACGTCCCAGTTTTACAGTGCTGAATGCCAAGGCCTGGGGAAAGGGCTGACCGTTATGCAGAGTTGTATTTGCCTACTCTAGATATAAAGAGGATGCGTGTTTGGTTTTCAGAGAATGTTTTAGATTTCTTAGTGATCGTGTATTGTGAGGACCTCGTTGCAACACTGGTATATGTAGGTTTATCAGTGCATACAGTGCATGTGAACGCATCGTTCTAGTTGACAAACATGTCCTTCTTTCAGAAATGACATGCTTGAACATTGTACCAAAGCTTTCATTTTGAGTGTGGTGGCTTTCTTATATTCTACCCATCAAAAGTTTAGACTCAGTTAAATCACTCACTATTTGTTTTGTATATATACGTGGTTACGTCGGAGATAAATTTCTCCACTACCTTGGGGGAACCAACTGAAAACCTTATGCAGATGAATTGCACAGGGATCATGCATCAAATTGCTGAAAAGCAAGTGCAAATATCGTGCATGTGAACAGCTGCGTTTTGGTGTAAAGTTTTATTAAGAATTCGTCAATGTTTTACAATACATCAGTTCATGTGTAAACAGCACCTTTAAACAGTATGGAATATTTTGTAAAATCTAGTTCAAAACAGTTGATTGAAGTACTAGTAATTGGCTACATTTACACTAGTGAGTCTAAACTTTTGATGGGTAGTATAGATCAGGGAACAATTCCTCATTGATAATTTAACTCTTAATGTATAAATAAACTGCAACACTCGCACCAATAACATGATTGTAGGAACGCTGATAGACACGATATCTAATCCTACTTGTGCGTGGAACACCAATGGAGACACAAGCCGAAATCTATGCTACAAGTTAATAGCTTCGTGTATAACATTTCAGAGAAACGAAGCATCGTATGATCAGTGGTATCCTTGTTGTCGTGATGGTGGCGGTACATCGAACAGTGTCATTATTTTGTGACCGAAGGAGCGCTTGTATGTAGTCGCGCTCCTTTTTAAGCAAATATAACTGCGGAGGACGACTGAAATGTGTGTCACTTATTGTACCAAATGGGGAATTGAATACACGTTTTCGGTGTGTCTGATGACCACTTGACGTTAAAATATGGTACTTGTTGGTCCATGCCTGGCACTCGGCATTAATGGGTACAACAAGGACTGGTCGGCTCGGAGTCAATATAATGTGTCTGAGGAGGGTATTCCTGCTTCACTGCGGCATGGTTTCTCAGTGGGCTAGCACTATAAAACCAGCTTAAGTCTGGACTAGTACAAGCAGCCGCACATACGCATACACACGCATGCACGTCGTCATATGAGCGAAATATTCTCAAGTACGACGTAAAACCCAATTTCACCTCACCTCACCTGATGACCACTTGAAACGCTTGGCTACCCCCTGCACCGATTTATGAATGAAATGTAATGACAGTTGGCTATGATGGCGCTGTATAATAATGTGGTCTATGTGAAATCGGTTTCATTTGTTAAACAAGTCATTCTTATTTTTCTTCTTCACACGTGTTGGATGATATTCTTTGTCTCCTTTAGGACATGTGGCGTTTTCTTTGAAGGAAGGAAGAACTAAACATCTTAACATTCAGACCTCTGTCACAAGAAGATGATAAATATATGTTTGTGGAACATTTTAATGAAAGAATCCCACAAGTGTGTCGGTAAGACGATCAAACTTCACGGTCCTCAGAACACTAAACAAAGTCAACTTTAACAACAAGTCAACAAGAGCCAGTCGCATCCAATGCAGGACCTGAGGCCAAATCCGAAAACCTCGAAGGCAACAGTTTTCACTTAATCATCAAACCTGAATGCAATAACTCGATTAAAATATTCCAGTCTGTCATGTTCAAGGCAGCGCTAAGAACACATATACGCTACTGTGATGCAGTTAACAAATAGTCAAAACTAATTGTACCGAAAACTGTGATTTGTTTGTTTACACGATGCGGGTTCAAAGGAAACATGAATGAGTCCGGAAATGTGTGTTACTCTCCTCTGGCTAATCCTCGTCACGAAATGGCTGCAATATTGCCGACGTGACGTTAAAGTTTGAATCACCCACTCACCTCTGGTGTACAACGCCGCTTTGAGCAACAGTATTTCAGTTATGGCAGAGAGTATAAACTAGATCTTGGAGGAAAGTTAAAAGTGGTGTAGGTTTTAGATGTGTCCTCTTTTACTTCCTGTTAACCCCGTGTATAGCCGAGTACAGCTATATGTTTTTACATGGACCTCAATATTCTGATATTCTGGGGCTGGGTTATAGTTTTTACTAATATTTTCGGGAAATGATTGTTTTGCATGTTTTAAAATCACCAACTAGAATATGTCAGCCTCGTACTTTTCTGGCTTGAAGGAATCAGGATCGTCGTAGAGCTGAGGATTTCTGTGTATAGCTATCACAGGAATGAAGATATTTTGACCTTTGTTAGACCCTTGATTTGAGTGAACATAGAAACAGTCAGTCAATTCTAAAATGACGAATAAGTTTGGATAAGCTTGGGGAAAGTGAAGATATTTTCAAATGTGATTTATTTGTTCTGCATTGAATCTTTACAGGTTAAACTTTAGCAGGTTCCAAGCAAATATATTCTGGGAGCATTATCCGACACTCTGTAATTTTCAAGATCTTACTGTTCATTACAGTTGGTAGCCTCTATTCTTGTTATGTCAATGAATGCCTGAGCTGGGTTTAGTATTCAGTTATAAAAGAATTACCACTGCTTTGTTTACACTGCTTTGTTAAGTGTATGTAAATTCTGATAGCAGGGTGATATAATAATGTTTGTTTCTTGTGGAGCGCCTAAGTGAGCAGTATCCCAGCTATATATGACTGCAAGCTGTAATAATCGATCCAGGACATGTCCGGTATTGTGATCAAAGATCTGCTATGGCGTGGTACAACGACACACAATCAACAATGTCCCCAAGCCTGACCAAACGGTGTACATGGTCATCTCCTACCACCTGTATAGGTTGCTGGGAACCATTCTAACCTGGAATCCCACCTTGTAACTTGTCCAACATTTGTAGCCTTATTCTATCAACAATTCTAGATTACATTATTTTGCCTTTATTTTCCTATTGTAAAACGTGTGTCACTTACACATAGCCCAGCAGGTAGAGTGTTTGAGAATAATAAGACACAAGTCATTTCTGAACCACTGATGTGTCACATTGCTATGGGATAATGCATATAAGATGCTATATTTTAGAAGCACAATAAAACATAACTAGCTGTAATTATTACATGACTCATTATTTGATAATGTTAGTAAATGAAACAGCCTTTCAATAACTTACGGACAAAGAAAACGAATATCATAAACAAGACTGAAAACTGATATCGGGGGCATGAGACCCGAGTCAATATTGTACAAACTGCGCCCCAAATTCACGCCAAATACAATTGTAGTTGAGGGTCCTAATACAAGATTGTCTCTGGATATGTTTCTCATTTTGTAAATGTTATACCTGGTCTTGTTTTACCAAGGTAATAAACATCTAAGACCTTCATCATAACTTGCGAAAAGAGTTGCGTTAAAATTTGAATACAGAGCCGGGTTGTACCAATGCCACTCACTTTACGGAGTGAGTGTCTCACAGGCAGGGTGTCTAATAGCACATCGGATAACTGTGAAGAAAACAAGATTTAAAGGCAATGCAGATGTGCCACAATTACAATTTTAGCATGGACATATTTCAAGTGTTTCATTCTCCCGGAAAACACTTTCATGCTGAAAATTCATCATGGAAGTGAAATGCTTCTCGTTTGATACAAACTTATAAGAAGTCAAGGTGGAAGACAATCAGTTTTCGATGCCCACTGATTTAAAGTGGTAAAACATATATATATAACCATTGGTTTGTACACAATTTGGAGATACAGATACATTCTTTGAACTAATGTTGCATTGTCGCCGTTTTCAACATCTTGGAGACACTTTCAGTATGATGTCCTTGTCTGTTTCAAGAATGGTTGGATTCTGAGCAAACGTCAATACTTCCTGTGAAGAAAAAAAAATATATATAGTTGTAACATGGATGCGAGGACGTGGAATCAGAACGCAATGATCAATCAGCAGCCTTCTGAAACAAACTAACCTTATTGCACTGCAAAGGCGTTTTGTGAATTTCCTGCAGAAATATACTGTCTATATTCCAACAAAATGCAATTCTTTTAAAAGCTGGGAATTAAATGTCTTAGAGGACTCAGTTAGTACTGGTTAGTTTGGGGGCCTTTCTAATTATTCACTTAACACAATATATTCTAAAGATGGCTGGCGATACCAATACGGAATTGCATGCTTTCAAGTACGTAATCTGTAGGGTGATCTAGCCAATGTGATCTACGCTGACGAGATGTCGTATGTTTGCATTTAAGTTTGCTAAGATAACTACATAAGACATTTTTGTTGCGAGAAGAAGATAATAAAATGCATGGTTGTAAAATTATATAATGAAAGAATCTTACCGGTGTGTCGGGCATTCGATCAAACTTCACGGCCCTCAGAACATTGACCAAGGCTACTTTAACTTCAACAAGAGCCAGTCGCATCCCAATGCAGGCCCTGGGGCCAAATCCGAAAGCTTGGAAGGCAATAGTTTTGTCTTGATCTTCAAACCTGAAGTACAGTTTCTTGCAATTACTTAATTATAATATTTCAGTCTATCTGTTCAAGGCAACGCTTAGAACATATGTCCGCTACTGTGATACATTTAACAAATAGTCAAAACTTATTGTACCGAAAAATGTAAGATGGTTTGTTTAGACGATACGGTTTGAAAGTAATCATGAATGAGTCCGGACATATGTGTTACTCTTCACTGGTGTATAACGCCGCTGTAAACAGCAGAGAGTATAAACTACATCTTTGGAGGAAAGTTAAAAGTGGTGTAGGTTTTAGATGTGTCCTCATTTACTTCCTGTTAATCCCGTGTATAGCCGAGTACGGCTATATGGTTCTTTATAGACATCAATGAAGGGGGCTCAGTTATATTTGTTTTGTATAATACCATCTGATATTCTATGGCTCAGTTTGTTACAAATATTTTCGGGAATTGATTGTTTTTCATGTTTTAAAGTCACAAGCTAGAATATCACTATGTCGGCCTCGTACCTTTCTGGCTTGAAGGATTCAGGATCATCGTAGAGCTCAGGATTTCTGTGTATAGCCATCACAGGAATGAAGACATTTTGACCCTTAGAGAAAGTTAGGCCCTTGATTTGAGTGGTCTCAGAAACAGTTCGGTCAATTCTAAAAAGAAACAATACGTTTGGATAAGCTTGGGGAAAGGCATGATGTATTAAATGTGATTTAGTTGTTCTGCAATGAAGCTTAACATGTTAAAACTTACCAGCTTCCAAGCAAATATATTTTGGGAGCATTATCAGACATTCGGTAATTACCATGATTATTGAACTGAGTTTAGTATTCGGTTATAATATGGTGGAAAGATACATAGAACAAACACTGCTTTGTTTACGAAGCCGGTGAGTTAAATGTATGTAAATTCTGATAGTAGGGGGTATAATAAAGTTTGTTTCTTGTGGAACGCCTCACTGAGCAATCTTCCAGCTATATATGACTGCGAGCTGTAACAATCGATCCAGGACTGACAAGGACATGTACAGTATTGTGATCAAAGATCTGATCAGTCGTGTTACAACGACACACAATCAACAATGTCCCCAAGCCTGACCAAACAATCTACATGGTCATCTCCTTCCACCTGTATAGGTTGCTGGGAACCATTCTAACCTGGATGGTTTTTCACTTACACATAAGCCGGCGGGTAGAGCCTGAGCGTCTCTGTGATCACGTTGTCCAGATACTTCAGTTTCCCAATGTTGTCATAGTTTGGTTCCTCCTGGCGGCAGACAAACACAGACTGTCAATATCCCAGTATTTGAAAGAGTGATTATAACGTTAGAGTTAGAGGGAAGGCAGGGGATGTTACAGAGTTTGAGAAGGGGACCTTACAGAGATGGAGAATAATACCAAACAAATCATTTCTGAAAGATTGATGGGTCACATTGCTATGGGGGAATGCATATCAGATGCTATATTTATTAGCACAATAAAACATTAATAGCTGTACTAACTACATGATTCTTCATTTGAAATTATTAGAAAATGAAACAGTTTATCAATATCAAAGACAACGAATATCATAAACAAGACTGAAAACAACAGATAGAAAATGACTGTCCACCTTTAACTCAAAGGCAACTTGTACTTTATGATACTGACATTTCCCAACATTTCTTTGACTTCATTGTAAGCCTTCTCCTGTACATCCGGGTTCATGGCCAGGTTGTAAGATATGAAGGTAAGGGTGGACGCGGTAGTTTCGTACCCAGCGATAAAAAACACTATGCACTGAGCAACTATTTCGTCCGTAGATAGATCTGTAAGTTGAAACTTTTGTTATTCGTACTTAAAATTTGTATAATTATCTTGGATATGTCATTCTAGACATATATCACTATAAACTTATACATATACTCAGCTAGATTAAAACCTTGCCACCTGACACATTTAACACCCAAATCAGTGGTAGATTATTTCGAAAATAAATGTGTGTAATACTGTTGCCATCCAGGTGACAACAAAGGGCGATGAACAGTGAATGTAAGCATAGTTATAATGAAATAATGCATTATTATATATGTGTAAATAAACTAATATATGACGTCCCATGACGTCAGAACTGCAGTGTAAGACGTAGCGTTGCCATGTTAAAATGTCCATGACCATGTAGATGAATCAATGGAAGACGATATCTTGCATCCATAAAATGGTCCCAATGCTTTTCAGAACGATCCGACAATCAGCCTCATCTCAATCATCCATTGGAACAAAATGCTCCCAACCAAGAGCTCTGTTGAGTATATACATTGTTTACTGGTTCCATTTTGTTTGCTTGCAAAATAATGAATACTTTGTAACAGCAGTAAAACATATTGAGAACAAATAAATAACTTCCTCGATGACGTTTGATGACGTTACGTACAATAAATACATCTGACTAAGGGGAAAAAAGTAATTGAATGTATGGGTGAAACGCAAAAACAGTCAGAAAGCCATCATTTCCCTACAGAGGTGTCTGTCCTTTCCCTAAAGTGCCAACTTACGCCTGATTGAATGTTTGACCGTTTGACCATCAGCGCTTTTGTCGTCTTTTCCTTCTTCTATCGAAGCATCCATCATCATTTGCAGGAAGTCTGTTCCCTTTCATAAATTTCGAGAACATAATTTTCGTTACTGCCGTCGCACGAAACATAAAATATACAATATCACATAATGCATGGTTAGATGACAGGTGAGGTAACTGACATGTTCCCCTTACAGGCAATGATACATCTCCTAATAACACGTAGATGCATCGCTCTTATACACATTCACTTGCATGTTCATGTGCGTATCTCTCTCTGATAAAAGCAATCAGATTTAATCAAACCTCTTGGTGGTGTGTTTTATCATTTCGACGCTGTTTCATCATTTCACCCGTGATCGTCTCAAAGAAGGCAACGGGTTTTCGTGGAAAGATTCCAAGGCTGAGCTTATTGAAGACTGGTTCAAGTGCTGGGATAGCATCTTCAAACAGAAATAGAATCGATTTCAACCTTTAAATAACAATGCGGGCACTGGGATGGCCCACTGGATAAAGCATTCGCACGTCATGTCGACGTCATGCCCTGTTTCGATTCTCGACGTATGTACAATATTTGAAGCCCAGTTCCCACCGTGATATTGCTGAAATATTGCGAAAAGCGACAAACGAAGAAAGCCAAAAAAACAATACTCACTGAATGAGTCACTCAACAAAACCGATACACGCAACTACTGTTACTTGTTTTACAGCATGAAGGGATTTACTTTAACCGGCATTATTGAGTCAGTTTCGTAGTCTCTTACCTGACAATGCTAAGCATGCCAATGCAAGTTTTGATGGTCGTAATAACGTCTTAGCATGAACGACAAACGGGTGGTTGAAATCTGTTTGCGAATCAATCTTTATCCCAAAGGCAGTTTGGCAAATGGCATCCATAGAGAAAGCTCCAAAGTATCTAAAAGAAAACATTTCGGACATTGATTACCACAATACTGCAGATTTAAAAGTAAGCTAGTGTTTTCTCTAATCAGATGTATCATTCAAAAGTCATTTCAAATTCTGATCTGTCAATCACTGAATTGTCTAGTTCAGAGTCGATTATTTACAGAGCGCCGTCAAACAACAAACAGATACGTCACATTATGATCATTAGTTTGTGATGATAGGGATGGGATTATATTTACGTAACTCTTTGTACTAAATATTGTAACTCATCTCAATAACAGAATTTGGCGGATGAATGTCGTCACGTCGACGAGTTAGATTACGTTCGTAACAACGTCCATGACGATGTGGATCATAACTCAAAATATCAATCGGTGGTGTGTCTAGTTTAGATTCGGTTTTATACAGATCACTATCTTTCACATGAACTATTTCAGCATGAGGTGCTCAACTACAACGGGATGTTAATCACTGTTTGTCAATAGTATGAGCAAAGATTCACCACGGAAGCACTGTTGCATGCACGGTCCAATGTATTTTCCCACTTTCATATACGATCCTGATCCATTTAGGGATTCAACAATTGAAATAGTTACTAACACACTGAAAGTATGGCAGAGATCTAGAACACTGCATGTTACCAGTTTTTCCGGGCTTTAACTCTGGTATTTAACTTTGGTTTCATACTGTCCAATTGAACTATTTACTAACACACTGAAAATATGGCGGTGGACACTCTTTTTGGTCACACAAGGAATAATCTTTGCAATTGTGTGATATACCTATCTACATCAAAATGTAACGAAACAATAAATACCTCCATACTGCGAACAATACACTCACTGTTTTATATTGACCCCAGCGTTTTTCTCCATATTGTTGGAGAAGTTTTTTGTAAGTGTCCTTGCACAATCGTTGATGGCTCCACACATCTATACAAAAGCAAAAACAAACTAATTACAACAATACATATAGCAGATTGTGACACTGTATCACAAACCAAAGCCTTGGTTAAGTGGACAGCACATCTGTAGGGTAACAAGTACTGGCCAGCTCGAAGTAAGTAATATGCCTCAGGTGATTACCCTTGTGTAACTGTGGTATAGCATCTCAGTGGTCTAGCTTCAATAGAGCAACCTACGTCGGCATCTGTACAAGAAGTCACACACAGAGACTACATAAATTAATCATCGTTAAATCGACGTTAAACCATTTGTCACCTGGGCATGTCACTTCTTAGGTTCATGATTGACACAGATTTCATAGCATGCGGTGTGCCTATACTTTTAGTTCGGGTGTCATTTCAACAATATCAAAGTATGAAAAAGCAAGTCAGGTTCAAACTTATACTGATTCTGCTCAAAGTGTATTCATTCACGGAACATATAGACGACAAGAGTCACTTACCCGCTTCAGTTTGACACCAGTGAAGGAAGGGGTGATGGTATTTCTCACTCTCTTCCACGCAGCATCTTCCAAGAAACTCACAGCTAAATTTAAGGGGTAGGGTGATGAAAATATCTGAAAACAGAAGAAAGGAAAACTGTTAAGAAAATAATGTTCCATTTCATTTGAATGGTTACACTTGTTACAATATCTTCACGCCCATAAGTCCCCATGGTTCCTATTAAGGTTATCTACCTTCAGTTGTTGGCGATCTATAGCCCGTGTTTTATATTGTATTGTCTTCTTTAATTGGAATGTTTTAGCTTTGCCCGCTAGTTTTATATTATATCTGTGATTGTCTAGTATTTTTACTGTCAATCGTCGACAGGTTTTAATCTTCAAAATGTTTTCACTTTTTACTGTATAAACTGTTTTCGTCACGATATGGCTGAGATATTGCCGATGTGACGTTAAATATTAACTCACTCACTCACTCACTCTTCACGCCCAAATCATGTACAGGGTTCAATAGTAGTTGTTATGATAATCACCCACCACGTGACATCTTTTCCTTTGATTAACAGCAGTAGCTAGTATGTGCTGATGTGTTAAGTGTTTAGTTTAGAAGGATGACATTATCACAAAGCCGACATTATTGCTTTCAGGGGCCTTACACGGCATTGCTTACCATCCGGTTTCTGAAATTGTCAAAACTCTTGACCATAACCTCTTTCAGAATTTCCAGATCAGCAATAATATAGGTGGGAGTCCTTCCCAGGAAGATTCTGCACAACAGAAACGTCATAGATGTACACTTCATATCTCCTAAACCTGAGCTCAAGGAAACATATACAATCTGATACAAAAATATATTTTTGAATGCCAATAAAAATTATTTAGCCATATGTTGTTTGAAGTTCCCCTCTTATCGGTAACGTGCACGTGTTGTTAACCTATCAGCTGTTTTCTCATTGACTTCCTATAATCTGCTCTATGCCTGACGACAATATGAACTTTGCATGATATAAGTATACTCATGTACATATACATACATGCATACATACCCAAAAACACCTCCATATCGCTTACTCCAGGCGTACAGATCATGTCCGAAATTCTGTATAAAATGAAGTGAATAAAATTTGCTGTTATACTTCAACTTGACATTATTATGTTTATGTTATGTTCAAATATTCTCCACTTTCCTCATCTGCCACAACAAGTGTACCAGGAGAGAATATTGTCAAAGGAATATAAATGCATGCTGCAAGCTAAAATGGCTTAAGATAGGGTTGTATCCTGAAAATATCAAGACCTACTTCGAAGTTTACCGAATGTTAAATTTGAAACCAAAAGTGAAATTTGAAAAAAGATTAAAAGGAGAGATTCTTGTTAAAAGAATATAAACGTATGATGCAAACTAAAAAATGATACCAAATTGGACCTCACTATGTACGAATCGTTTTACCAGATACCGAATTTGAAACAAAAGAGACATTTTCTTGAATTCACCCATTTTACTATTCCTGCTATGTCATCAGAAGGTTTATGAGACACAATATAACAGCTGAGGATGATATTTGAGGAAAGGTTTCCGGGACAACATTTGTCACTGTCACAAACATAAGAAAAGAATATAAAAAAGAAAACCAAATCTTGACCTCAGGAAATGCGGAAAGAAGTATACATAAGAAAAGAATATTAAAAAAAACACCAAATCTTGACCTCAGGAAATGCGGAAAGAAGTCAAAATAGGGAAAGAATAATGTTTCGTAATGGAACAATTTCCGTTGTTAAACACCAGTCGTATCAGACTTCAGGCTGCTGAACTCATTGTATTGCATCAGGATGGTACTGGCAACATTCGTCGCTTTTCGTTGCGTTGCCTGAAACTCGGAAACGGCACCTTATCCTGATGCTAGACGGATATACTAGTGAGGAAGATATACAGAATTTTCATTATCAATTATAAATACACAACAAGTGATGCATTAGGATTCAGATTTTAGGGAAATAGATACATGAGATAGTTATTTCAGTAGTTACTTCAAGACCCCAGTCTGATATACTGTTCAAAAAGACAAGTCACGTCTACGTAGTGGAATAAATTGCCTTGATATATTTTATGTGTGTAACCTGCCATCACCTTTTTAGAATAAGATTAAGCTAATATACACATGGAACTTAATTAAGCACCCCCTAACATATTTTAAGTTACTGACTTACTTAATGATAAATCTTGAATTGTAACGATGACCTTTCAACATTTTTTGCTAAGTCAATCGTCAAAACACATCTTAATATGCAGTTGAAGCACACTACCCACGATGGTCTCATCAAGCACTATTAACTCAATGCGGCTAACTGCATAAATTGCCAAAACTTTTTAATGATTTTACCAGAATCTGTTACAATGGCACGAAGGAGACTACCAGAAACAAGAAGATGGCAAATTATTGGAATGCACGACACCGGGATGTCATGCAGGGTTATTGGGCGACAGCTTGACATTCACAACACCGTCATAAGTCGACTTGTTCAAGAACACCGTCAAACCAACAAGGGTAAAGACTGACCAAGGCCTGGTCAACCCCGAAAGACGTCTCAAGTTAAGGATCGGGATTCAGCAAGCCTTGTGAGACGACAGCCTTTCACTACAAGTGGCGTCCTGAAGCACCTATGGCTCCCAAGCAGACGTCTGTGCAATAGGACTGTAAGAAACCGCATAAAGACACATGGCATGAGGGCAAGAAGGGTGATCAAGCGTCCAGCCTTGACCAATATTCACAAGAGAGCTCATTTGGAGTGGTGTTTACGCCGAAGTCATTGCAATTTGACGTCATGGAGGAAGATTACAAGGCGATAGTTCTATTTTCACAGCAGAAGCAAATGCAATATTAACGGCTCTTAAATATATTTAAAGACGTCCTAAATATAAACAATATATATTTTTCAGACTCTCTTTCGTGTTTTAGGCTATAAAAAATCTCTCTTGCAAACATCCACTTTTAATTGATATAATTCAATTATATAATGAACTTGCTACTGGCCAATGCGACATCGTCTTCTGTTGGTTACCCAGCCATGTTGGAATCTCTGGTAACACAATGGCCGATTTTGCTGCTAAGGCAGCACTCAACGAATCTGTGACACCACTTCTCATCCCATACTTCGAGTACAAAGCTGCCATTATATCGTACATCCGTCATCTCATGCAGAAGAAGCGGGACACCCAAGTAGATATCAATAAATTACATGCTATAAAACCCTATATTGGTTACACCTACTTGGGTTGTCAGTCCAGATTTGAAGAGGTCATACAATTTTTGGCCATACAAGATATACTCATGAAAACCTGTTAAAAGGCGAGAATACTCCGTTTTGTATCCCTTATGATGAGAGAATCACTGTCAAGCATGTCCTGCTTGACTGTATAGATTATTCCATCACAAAGGATAAGTATTTCAATGTCAAGACAGTGAAGGAATGTGAAAATATCCTCCCAATGTCCCCTTGAAACATTTTCGAAAACTTTGTTTTAAACATGATTAAACAACTTTTCACAAAGACATATATGTGCAAAAAACTCATGCTTTATTGTACGCTGATTAAATTGCGGATAATGACACCAAGGGCTCGACACAAGGAGAAAGGGACAAGACAGTTTTATTAAACCTACCGGACCAGTGTTTCCAATACAACACGTTGGTGCTGGCCCCGGGATGCCTTGTTTCTTGAAGTAATTGTAGTTCCATGTTCCATATCTGTAAATATCCAATAGACATTTCTCAAACCAGGGCTGACTGCACAATTCCGACGACAAAAATACTGAGACTGTGTTTGTTTGACGCTACATTCAGTAGTGTTACAGCTGTACGACGTTGGCTGTAAACAAATTGAGTCTGGACCAGACAGTCCAGCGATTGACAGCATGAAGTACGATGACAGAGCATGTGTTTATGAACACTGAGGATACCTGGTGTTCAGGAAAAGGTTAGTTTACCCTGCTCTATCAGTGGCACCGGTCCAAAACATATGTAACGGTTAGTCACCTGACAAAAATCGGAACGTATGGTACGAGTCAAAATAGGGAATTGCATCCGACATCATTTTTGTTACTGCTGCATCCAAATTTTCAAATGCCCTCCACAGGTCTACCATAAACTTATACTGATCCCTTTAATGTTGTAAGCTTTATCGAACAACTTCTGAAATCTTAGCGCTGTTTGAAATCTTGGTAGAAAAAGCATGTCCGATTGAACCTCAAAAGTTGTGAAATGTAAACACCAAAGGCTGGAGCTGTTGTGAGGTGAGGTGAGGTGAAATTGGGTTTAACGTCGTGCTTGAGAATATTTCGCTCATATGACGACGTGCATGGGTGTGTATATGTATTTGCGGCTGCTTGTACTAGCCCAGACTGAAGCTGGTTTTATAGTGCTAGCCCACTGAGATACCATGCCGCAGTGAAGCATGAATACCCCACTCAGACACATTATACTGACTCCGTGCTGACCAGTCCTTGATGTACCCATTAATGCCGAGCGCCAGACAGGGACCACCATGAATCATATTTTAACGTCTTTTGGTATGACGTGGTCGGGGATCGAACCCGCGACCTTCCGCTCTCCGGGCGGACGCTCTAACCACTACACCATGGAGGCGGTCTGGAGCTGTTGTAATATTGCTCGACATGAAAGGATAGTTGAAGTCATGCCTTTTATCATACAGCCGCCTAGAGCTTTTTGTCACATTTTAAATATAGTATGGTTTTGACATTAAGTTTTATGGTACGAAATTCTAGCTAAATATATTCTGTTATACAATAATACCACCCGTGAAGATCCGGATTATAATTGATCTTCAGTAACCCATGCTTGTCTTAAGAGGCGACTTACGGGATCGGGTGGTCAGGCTCGCTGACTGGGTTGACACATGTCATCGTATCCCAGTTGCGTAGATCGATGCTCATTCTGTTGATCCCTGGATTGTCTGGTCCAGATCCGATTATGTACAGACCGCCGCCATATAGCTGGACTATTGCTGAGGGCGGCGTAAAACTAAACTCACTCAGACACTAATTATACCTGTTATAACTTCATTAACTGACCATCAAAAGAATGACAAATAAACAGGTGTAGGTTTGGTTTATCCTCACTGTGCAGGCAGACTGTACAGGATTAGGATTAATGATGTTGTTATAAGGAAAGGGATCGTCTCATGAACTAAACTCATGGCATAGGAGACATTCAAAACTGACAGATTGTCAGACTGATATCAACTCACCAATTATCCATGTTCAATTAATGTCACTGAATAAAACTCATGTTGTTAACAGCTATATATTACTCAGGAACATGAGTTCCAGCGTTCATTCCTAATACGCAAGGTGGTCGTAATCTTGTCTATCAAGATTATAAGTTCAGAGGGGGCGATGGGGTAGCCTAGTGGTTAAAGCGTTCGCTCGTCATGCCGAAGATCCAGGTTCGATTTCCCACAAGGTGTGAAGCCCATTTCCGGTGTCCCCCGCCGTGATATTGCTGGAATATTGCTAAAAGCGGCGTAAAACCCAACTCACTCACTCCCTCATAAATGAGAATACGTATTGGACGCAACACCAGTGTACATTGGAGATGTCACACTTTGTGTCACAGGTTTATACTGATACGGTCCCCAGAAATCCCTTTGTTTTGTTATTTGACATGCCTGATTGCTTCAATTATGAATAAAAGGTGCCTGCACTATGAGGAGACCCCGTAGGTTTATACCACCAAACACGGGTTACAACAAGGGAGTAGTAATTGCTGCATTGCATGCAATGTTAATGGCCTAAAAACACTTTGACGGTAACCTCCCAAAACTTAGACCGCAATATCTTAGACAGCTTAAAACAACAACATTTCTGGTTCAGTGCACAACTAATCCTCAAGCTGATACCAATTTCTTATAATGGATCTGTCCAGTAGAATCAAAGACGTTATGTTCATTCAGCATATTTATTACAAGTTCAACGGAGATAAAAATTAAATAGTAAATATTTAATATGGTACTATGTTGATCATGTCCACTGCATTTCCACAACATTTCCCTAAAATATAATATTTGTACATAACATAACATATAATTTGCACATAACATGTAATGCTTAATGACATCCATGGCACATTAAGCACAGCATTTATCTGATAAATAAATTCCCTAACCAAGATGAAGCAAATGTCTAACTGCATTCCTGCATTCAGAGGTACTCCACTTAAGGTATCAGAACAATTGACCCCTTTCATCTCGTGAGAAGATATTGAAATTAAAACATAGCATGCATCTTTAAACTTAATCCCGTTTGTACAGTTCATATAATTTACTTCAGATCTGAATACTGGCTAGGTCTACTCAGCAGGGAACACTAATTAAGACTGTTCCATTTCAGCCATGGGTGTTGTCTTAATTAATCCCCTTCATTAGTGTCTAAGTTTTGGAAGATAACCGGGTAGACACTGTTTTGAGGATACGAACGGAACTTCATTATTGCATAAGAAATACATATCAGCATTTGCTGTGTACTAAAGATAAAAACGGTCCTTGCCTATTTACCTAAGTAAATTTTCAGAATTTTCCAGCAATGGCAAAGTGGGGTTGTTTAGTTTACGGATTTAAATAAATCAAATTGGATCAGTCATCATACCATCTACGCATTAGAAAATCCGTAAAAGCCTACACTGCTGGGATACTACAATAAGACAAGAACTGCAGGGGATAGTTACAAATAACGGCGTCAGAGGGCCATCCACCCTTCCTAATGTCCCACTGTTTAGGTTGAAAATTCTGCCAAGGTCGATAGTAGCCCAGTCCTCGTGTCCGTCACGGTCGAACGAGCAGTTACTCACAAGCTTGCAGCTGGGATTCGTAATTAGATTGTTAGCTTGAAACATTAATCGCTCTGGGTCAGTGCCGTAATGCCGACCGTTTTCTACGCACATATAGTTGCCTACTCACATGTAGATCAGCACTGTGGCCGCCAAGCACAGTAGGAGATACAGCGGCACGTCCACAAGCCCCAAGATCTCCATGTCGATATGACGACTGGAAAGGCGAAATGCTCTAATAACACAGAACAAGCAAACAATATATCACGTTTCCTACTTGTTCCGAAATGGGGTCGTGTCAGTTTTACAGTGCTGAATGTAAACGTGGGTGACCTTTACTCACAGTTGTATTTGCTAACTCTGGATACAAAATAGACGCGTGTAGCGACCAGAACTGGGATACGACCAGAACTGGGGTAAACATTGTTTGTCGATTAAATACATAGTTGAAAAGAACACGTATAATTCTCTGCGGCAGTTATCCCAGTTCTGGTCGTATCCCAGTTGCAACAGACGCGTGCTTACTTTCAGAGGATGTTTTAGGTTTCTTCGTGATCATGCATTGTGAGGATCTCTTTGCAACACTGGTAAATGTAGGTTTATCAGTGCATACAGTGCTTATATGTCAGCATCTTTCTCGTTGATAAACATGTCCTTGTTTGTGAAATGACATTGCAGGTTATATTTATCTTTTGAAATTGCATGTGTTGTTGTGATGTGTTACGGGTGGTTAAAGATCGTCGCTGAACCACCGTGTTCATTTTCACAAATTGGTGTTGTCATTTTTCAGTACATTCTCTGACAACAATTCTCACACCTCCGATTCTCCTACTCCGTTGAGTGTATGGAGCATTGTTGGTCGGTAGATAATCTTCAACGCAAAATGGTATATTTTCAATGCTGCTTGTTAGAAACACTCTGCATTAAAACGTCGTATTCTGAATATATTTATTTACAAATACCCTGAATACATTGCAAACAACTTGAATACATTGCAAACAACTTGAATATATCACAAACAACCTGAATATATCACAAACAACCTATATATATATATATATAAATCACAAACAACCTGAATGTATTACAAATAACCTGAACATATCACAAACAACCTGAACATATCACAAATAACCTGAATATATCACAAACAACCTGAATATATCACAAATAACCTGAATATATCACAAATAACCTGAATATATCACAAATAACCTGAACATATCACAAAATAACCTGAACATATCACAAACAACCTGAATATATCACAAACAACCTGAACATATCACAAATAACCTGAACATATCACAAACAACCTGAATATATCACAAACAACCTGAATATATCACAAATAACCTGAACATATCACAAATAACCTGAATATATCACAAATAACCTGAACATATCACAAAAAACCTGAATATATCACAAATAACCTGAACATATCACAAATAACCTGAACATATCACAAATAACCTGAACATATCACAAACAACCTGAATATATCACAAATAACCTGAACATATCACAAACAACCTGAACATATCACAAATAACCTGAATATATCACAAACAACCTGAATATATCACAAACAACCTGAATATATCACAAAAAACCTGAACATATATATATATATATATATATATATCACAAACAACCTGAATATATCATAAATAACCTGAATATATCACAAATAACCTGAATATATCACAAATAACCTGAACATATCACAAATAACCTGAACATATCACAAATAACCTGAACATATCACAAATAACCTGAACATATCACAAATAACCTGAACATATCACAAATAACCTGAATATATCACAAATAACCTGAATATATCACAAATAACCTGAATATATCACAAATAACCTGAATATATCACAAACAACCTGAATATATATGGCAAACAACCTGAATATATCACAAAACAACCTGAATATATATAATCACAAATAACCTGAACATATCACAAATAACCTGAACATATCACAAACAACCTGAATATATCACAAACAACCTGAATATATCACAAATAACCTGAACATATCACAAAACAACCTGAATATATCACAAACAACCTGAATATATATCATAAATAACCTGAACATATCACAAATAACCTGAATATATCACAAAATAACCTGAACATATCACAAACAACCTGAATATATCACAAATAACCTGAACATATCACAAATAACCTGAACATATCACAAATAACCTGAAACATATCACAAACAACCTGAATATATCACAAATAACCTGAACATATCACAAATAACCTGAACATATCACAAATAATCTGAATATATCACAAAACAACCTGAATATATCACAAAACAACCTGAATATATCACAAAAACCTGAACATATATATATATATATATATATCACAAACAACCTGAATATATCATAAATAACCTGAACATATCACAAAGCAAATCTGAGACATATCACAAAATAACCTGAGACATATCACAAATAACCCTGAATATATCACAAAACAACCTGAATATATCACAAATAACCTGAACATATCACAAAACCTGAACATATATATATATATATCACAAACAACCTGAACATATCACAAATGATAACATATATATATATATATATATATATATATATATATATATATAAGTAGTGTACAGGTCACCCTTTAGAAAAGTGGTTTTCAAGATGGCGGCACATCCGGTCCCCATGGGCGCCGCCATTTTGGGATCAGGATGGCGGCGCCCACGATGACCGGATGAGCCGCCATTAGGGAGATCACCCGGGTTCCGGTTCCGGTGGGTGCGCATGGCGATGACGTCACGTCCGGTTCCGGTGGGTGCGCGCGCATGACGTTGACGTCGCTTCCGGGCCAAGATGGCGGACGCGTTTCAAGAGGGCGGAACGGACGAGGCGGCGGACGGGACAGGACCGAGAGGAAGGGGAAGGAGAGGAGAGGAGAGGGAGGGAAGGAGGGAGGGAGGGAGAGTGGCGTGGACGATGGCGTGCGTGCGGTGACGATGATGTGTGTCCCAAAGTGTGTTTATTGTGGTACCAGCCTCAAAGATACCTATATTTACCGGTTGACGCATGGATGCAAGTGTGTAGTGAAACAGATGCTGGCATTCACCCATGTCAATGTATGACCCAGCTGTGGTCCCCGTGAGTGAGGTACACACCCACAAAACGGTCCTTTTCAGGGCCACCCATCTCTCTCAAGAGAGGGTACATTCAATGCGAAACAACAATAATAACAACGATAGACTGGCATTTTTTTTTCAAACGTTTATTTCCCGCTAACAAGAACACTTTGACAAAAGATGCAGGATTAGGGGCGTCCCTGATCGTTTGTTTACAAACGGTATGAACTGTAACATCATAATTGTAACATATCACAATATATTCACCTAATGATCTTAGCAACGTTGTGATTTCATTGTATCTCCTATTAAATGGTTCAGGTGGCTGTAAAGTTTGCAACACAATGCCCAGTAACGGTACGTACTCACACATGTTGTTTTCATTCAATGGGCTTTTCCTGTCCACCATACTCTTGATCCATTTGTTTTGGGGAATTGTTTGCACTCTTTCGTAACCCCGATGTCACGATCGTGACTATCACTAAGGCGATCCGGGATTTAACTGTGAAGAGTGAGCATAAGACCATTCTTTTGAAAGTGACGGTCCCATGGCAAATGGCTACCGCTGTTGTGTTTACGTTAGACATTGCATAACTGTGACGTCATCGATGACTTCACAGCTCATGTGGAATTCCTAGAACTGGGTATTTTCCGAGAACGGCTCATTCTCATTTCTTTAACGGAGGAGCCCTGCGTTGCCATTCTGGGCGATAGCATTAAAGTCATCTATGTTTTCCAATTTCATCTGTAATACCATCCTGGGCACTGGATATACGTCCTTTTGGCTGCCTCCACATAACTTAGTCACGTTTTCAAAAGGCTCGGTAGGATAGGTTTCCCATAGACGGGAGTAATTTCCAACTGATTGTTTTCCACAGGCACACACCTCAGGAATGCATCATGTCGTTCACCGTGAACACGGCGAGTGCACCATCGCCATCATGAACTGCATCCGTGCCATCTGTATTCTTGATTTTTGAGGCAGATGCGGAGCTAACACTGACTAAAATCTATGTAAGCACTGACAGGGTTAGCAATGTTAAATTGGAGGGATCCGTGACGTAAGATGGCGCAGGTCTTCCTGTCTACGCCAATGGTACAACAGACTATCATGCCACATTTCAGTGTATCTATTGTGCTACATTATTGAAGGACACTCACACCAGGCGTTTGAGTGAGTGGGTGAGTGAGTTTAGTTGTACACCACGCTCAGCAATATACCAGCTATATGGTGGCAGTCTGTAAATAATCGAGTCTGGACCAGACAATCCAGTGATCAACAGCATGAGCATCCATCTACATAACTGGGATACGATGGAATGTGTCAATCAATTCAGCGAGTCTGATCACACGATCCCGTGAGTCGCCTCTTACGACAAGCATGGGTTGCTGAAGACCAATACTAACTCGGATCTTCATGTGAATTGGCCGTTTGGAAGCAAGTGCCTTGTGAAACAAAGATGACCATCTATGCCTGTCAGTGTTTAACACTTGCCTGTGGTCACTCCCACTGTGAGTTAATCTCACCCAGCGGTCCTTTTCAGGACCACGCATCTCTCAAAAGAATGTTGCGACCAATGCAAACAATAGGTCAATCTTTTATATCATTTGACAAAAGATGCAGGAAGTAACACAGACATCGATGTAGGCATTCACAGGGTTAGCAATGTTAAATTGGAGGGACCCGCGACCGAAGGGGTGCCAGAGGACTGTAATGAATCCACTGACCTTCTTGAGCCAAAGTCATCACAGGAGAGACAGGAAAGAGATCCTATTGTGCCTTTGGAACAATTCGCAGGCATCCTGGCGCATCATCTTGACAACTGATCTGGACTACAGGTCTGCACAACAGGTTTGCACTACAGGTCTTGACCGTACGGTGTCTGGTGTTGAACTGAACTCCTATCCCATCAGGGTGGGTCTTTATCTTTTTCTCTCTCAAAACAAGGGTTTACGTTTCTTGGTGGATCCACAGGCTGTTTCCGTTTTCGTTTGCGAGCGGGTGATCCTGGTGGTGGTGGTGGTGGATGCTGTCGCAAGGTGGCAAGTAAGGCTTGTTTCCCATGATGTTTCTAACTGTCTCCCACACTTCGGTGTCCTGAACGGATATCTTGCACCAATCCCAGCAACATCTTGACGCTGATTTGAGAGCTGATTTTCCCACCGTCTTGAGGATGGAGAGTGCTGAACGTCCCAAGTTTCCCAAGATGTTACCAAAACCTCTCCCTCGTTGATGAATGCGTCCTCGGTACACGGTTAAGCTGCCTCCTCGCTGCTGTCCACCCAAGCCGCTGCCGCTGCGGAGTCTGATACACTGATGTCCTACCAT